TAATCACTCTGAGAGTGTACTCATTGAATGTGCAAATGGAAATGTGACTCATAAAATGAACACAACAGTTACTGATTCAGGTTAGTGTACACATCCAATTAGCAATTGCATTTTGTTATAATACAATGTAAAAATGGCAATCAAGGTAACAATGACCCTGCAATAATCACACAAGAGTCATGTAAATGCATGTACACAAGTTGTTTTGAAAGTAAAAAAGAACAACTGAATATGTTACCCTTTTCAATGTTTTGTACATCAATAATAGGTTATTATGCAAAAGCACCAACAAATTTAACAACAACCTTCAATGCAAGTGGAGTTACTTTAGAATGGGAGGACAATGGGAATAACTGTACTTCTACTGAGTATCAAGTGACTGTTATTAGTTGTTCATGTGCATCAACCAGTGTATTGACATATAGTACTAATGAAACAGCCATACTTATAAACTCAAGCGACTTATTAGAAAATGTAGCCTATACATACACTGTTAGAGGGTGGAACGAGCAGCAAAGTAACAACAGTGAACCATTCACACTTGGTAAGGATATACAGTTCAACAATATGGTTTACATCTAATTTTAATTGAATATTTTATTATACAGGTAATGATACAATTACTTCTCAGTGTGAATCACCACAAAATGATAATGGTAAAAAATAATGGCTTATTATTGCTTTATTCTTGAATTTTTTACTAGATCTAGGCACTCCTAGCTTCAATGTTACTATTATTGCAAATGGTACTACTGATGATTGCAGTGATGGTAGTTGTTGTACTAATATTACAATTTTTATACAACTGGTAAGTATTAAACAAAACTTAATGTCTACTATAAGTACTGCAGGTATTGAACACATCAGACCCACAGTATGCAAATTTAACCTATAACATATCATATAATGCTATCACTGTTAATGAAGAATCAATGGTAACAAGTGACGGAGAATGGAACAAGAATATACAGTTACTTCGTAATAGAACACACTACTTTGATTCCAGACAAGCTAAAAGTATGTAATAGAATCTACTACTTTAGTCTACATGCAGTAATTTTATATTGGACATTTTGTAGATCAATGCAGCTCTAGCCCAATGGAAAATTCTGGAACATTAAGTGCAGGAGATATTGCAGCAATTATATTAGCTGTAATACTAGCACCAATTTTGATAACAAATATGGGATGCTTCATTTGCTGGCTTTATAAAATAGGTTGTCTTACTAAGCTAATTCAAAAAATAAAAGAGGTAAGGAAAAGTTTACATTGATCAAAGTAACTTGTATTAGACTTCTTTGTGTGTAAAATGTAGTTAGATCTAGTAGTTTTCAATTCTTGATGAACCTAATAATAGGCACTGATGACAGTCCACTTGTATTAGTTGAAACTAAACTGTTTACAGGGCTTTTTTGACTATTTTTACTTGCTTGATATTATCAATGATTGTCTCATTGTCATAAACATAATCATTATGTTTAGGTATTAAATTTACACCAAAAGGATGAAGGCCGCCAAGAACAAGAAATGAAACTAACCAGTGATTCATGATTAATATCCTATTAGATTATTTTTCTTACATAAACTTAATAGTAATATTATAGACTAGATCTATCATAAATCATTTAAAGCCTTATAATTGAGTGAATGTAATTAAATTGTTATTAGATCTAACCATAAATTTATCTATGTAGCAAAAACATCAATATTTGAAAATGTAATAAAAAATTGGAATAATTTTTGAGCCATTTTTTGAAAAAAACCATGGGCTATATAGCCTTTGTCTTTTAAAATTATTTTTGTGTAAATCTAGTATTACTCTCATTTATTAATAGTAGTAATTATTGACATGTCATCACCATGAATTATATTGTAAATATGAGAGACTCTCCTTTGTTATTTCTACTCCACACTTGGTTGGCAGGTAAGAGCTGCAGTAAATTGAATACTGTGTACAATATATGCAATATGTAGTTGGTGCTGTCACTGCCTTCAGTGAGACTGTATGTGCTGGAAATACAGTAAATTGCAACTGTACCACAAATACTGGAGCAGTTGAGTGGAACATTAGTAAAAGATCATTTTGATATTTGGATCAAATTTGGGAACCAGTAATAGAAGTCAATTTCAATAAATCTACACCCAATTTTGAAAATAATTAATATAGGTACAATTTTACATTTGATTGTAATTTAAACACTTTGGGATCTTTTTTAAATCTCAATTCCTCTGAAGATGTTCTCATTGTGTGTTCTAGTGGAAATGAGCAAGAAAATAAAGGTTCTGTCATCAGTAACTCGATCCACAGATGATGAACTATTTTCAAGTTGGCTCTACAATAGAAACGTGTATGCTATGTAATATGTAGTGTTTTATAATATATAATAAATATATACTTTGTTAATAATTGTATCTTAATTCAACATCAGTGTCAATCACCAACAGGAAATGATAAAGAGAATATTGGTGGTGGCTTCAATGGCTTGAGCTCAGGAGCTGTGGCATGCAGGCATTGTCATTGGAGTTGTAATTTTAAATAGTAAATTAACTTGGTTTTAATTCATCTTTTTGCTCTTGTTTTTAACTCTTACTTATGTTCTGAGTTGAAACTTCATATTCCAAGCTACCAGTTTTTACAACAAATTGCAGCAATTGTTCCCCCATTATGCTACTCAAAACTTTTGTAGTACTATTAGGATTTGAACTTATTCTACTTTACTCTG